GTGGAGGCCATCGCTATTAGGTTGGAGGCCATCACAACTTGCACTCCCAACCATTTTGTCTCAACAGCCTCGTCACAACGATCCACATCAACCTCCACAGCTGACAGGTGAGGAGCATGAGCTAGCAGGTAAGCTCGAGATGCATGTGGCACATCGGAGAGTCATCAAGATGTCACATGAAACCTACTAGCGATGGCCTTCAACCATCCTTCAACCGAATATAGCGATGGCCTCTAAAATACTATTCTGGCAACCTATGCCAACCTTGGTGCCGTTGGGTTGGTGTCAGGTCCCCCTTTCGTTTGGGTCTAGAATAGAGCGATTTGGAAGAATCACTCTTCCAGCAAACCAAGCACTTGCCATTTTGGGGTTCCCAAGCTGATTGTCGTCTATCAGGCAGGTCCTCGTACTTGTTGGTCTCTTGTGGAGGCCAGTTTGCGCCACGAACAACCCTCTTGTTCCCCTGCGAACAACCCTTGGAACGACCAACACGCGTGGATTTACATGGATTGACCGCGATTTTCTGTTATGGCCACAACGCTTCTGTCATGGTGCACCCACCCAGCACTGCCTTAAGGTGAGCATCCGTCAAAACTCTTGGTCAAATCCCAAGTGGTGTCAGATGTACGCGTATATTGGACGTTGCCACAGCCAGCATGTAGAAGATCACGACGCATTGCCAAGAGCGAGAATGAATGAACGGTGCGAAGCTATTTACTTGGCATTTGCTTTTCCTTTGTGCCATCATCCATGCACATGCTTCCCGCTTGATCATGGGCGGGGTGGGGGGGTGGGGCTGGGAGAATCACAACGACGTTGCGTGAGTTCATTTCTCTTAACCGCATCCGCATGGCGCGCATTCCTTTCTCTTCTGTCCTTCAAGTCGCATGTTCATTTGGTTTGTTTGACTTCACGCTGACTGAGGACCATCCTCGTTGACTTCATTGCAACTCAACGGGAAGATTGCCGGATTGGAAGATTGGTGATGTCGTGTAAGTTGTCCTAAGAATCGTCGACAGGGGAGGTTCATTGATTCAAATATTGAATGAAGCTGCTAATAACAAGTGCATCGCTACTAGTACCGAGGGCATTACTACCAGTAACAAGAAGCTACTAGTAACTACTAGTAGCGATGCCCTTTGTTACTAGTAGCTTCTTGTTGGACAATCTTGCATCGATTTCTTCTCCGGGCCAGTCTTGAAGAGTCGTTCGCATGTCATCAGCTGGGCTGGGGTCTTCCATAGTCCTCCACGATCCATTTGCAAATAGTTCGGAGTTCCTCATCGAAGCAACCTGTCGGATTTTGGGAGTTCTTGAAGGATGAAGGCTGGCCTCCAACCTGCTAGCGATGGCCTCCAACCTATTTCTGTATACTGGTTGGTGAAGGGGACAAACTCAGGCGGCATCCATCCACCGTTGGAACCAACATTCTACTGGAGTGCATCTAGACCAGACCCATGCTGGGTGTCTATACAAACTGCAGTCTTGAAAGGAACCATGCAAGAAAGGAACTCGCTTCACTCGTGAAGAGCAACAATTGGCAAGAGAAGGACAACCTACTAGCGATGGCCTCCACTCTAGCTGCGGAATCGAACTGCAGACCAGCCTACTCCAAATCCCCTCACTCCCCTCCACTTCCTCACAATCGAAGTGTCAAGTAGCATGGAGGGGCTGAAGAACGAAACCCCACCTTTTGTGATAAACCCAGCAACATCTGGCAGATGAAGATGCCAAAGATAAAGAGGGATGAGAAAAGGAAGGGGTTTGCTCTATGAAGAACCCTTTGAAGGGGCCTTATCAAGAGACCAAAAGACAAGGGACCAAAAGACCTTCTTCTTTTTTATTCCCTTCTGTGATGACTTCATGCCCAATCAGGACATGAAGCAACGCCTGGAAGGAGGTGCTCGCGAACGACAAGTGCGGCGAGCCTGGCGGTAAAAAGGAAATTGAGCCGATTCTTTGCTATTAGTCTTGCTACTAGTAGCTTCTTGTTACTACTAGTAAGGCACTTGTTACTAGAAGCGATGCACTTGTTTCTACTAGCTAGGTTGGAGGCCATCTATTGCCTATTGCTATGAGGTTGGCTGAAGTACGGGGTCCAAACGACTTCGACGCTGTGACTTCACCGTTTGGACCGTTTGGACTTTTGTTTCGATGACCGTTTGCACGCGGAACATGACAGTATGGTGAACACTTGGCATTCTCGGTGATTCTGCTTCGGTCATTTTCTTGCCACATGCCACATGGCACATCGTGTCATGAGGTTTTGTGAGACAAAGTATCAGAAGGATAAGAATCTTGGCAACAAGACTTTATCGCAGACATGCACCCAATCAACTTTTTTTCTGCTCACGGTCACACGAAAGGGATGCATATCTACCTTTCTCAAGACGAAGATGGTGTTGGCTCACCTCGTAAATCCGGCCATGGTCGCGCATGGCCAAGGACGGTAGATGTGGATGTAGGTAGATTGGCTTCAGAGTTTAGACGTATAGATGTCCATTTCACCCCAGATTTGTGGAGGTTGCTTCACATTCCATGTAGGATCAATCCACTGATCAGTGACCCTGTTATCATTGCAAGTGGTATCACAAAAAACAACACCAGCAAATGCGTGACAGATGCATCTGGCGCAAGCAGCTAAACCGTCGAGGAAGTACGATGAAGTAATTATGCCAGCTTTGCAACACACCCAAGCCGAAGTATGCAGTTGTGTTTTGATTTTAGTACTCTAGCTGATTGACCCAGAACTTGCACAGTCGGTTTGAACCTTGAATTGAAATCTTGACATTTGATTTTGCCATATCTTTGCGGAAAGAAGGCAAACAAGCCAGCCATTTGACATGTTAGCAATTTCCTGCAACTTTCCCAAATCAGGATCCTCGGAAGTACATCCATTTTCTGCTGCAAATACCACACTATTTAGCACCTGTGTGCTGAGAGAGGACCCTGCCGCACAAGGTACCCATCCCCAATTTGAAAGCGTTTGCTGCAGATCACACTGCCGTCCTTCAATGGGCTTTGAGCCGTATTTCAGTCCAACGCCTGCGTCACAGCTGGGTCATGCAGTGTGCGAAGCAAGCGCTGAGAGTCAACGCCAGCTGTGCGGCTTATGTCTTTGAACCTGCTACTTGGCTTCTTCATCGCTTCATTTGAAGCATCAAATCTGTCAACGCTTGAACCCGAACCTCGCTACAGCTGCCAGAGGATTTTGGATGCATTCGATGTGGCTGCAGCCGATGTGGAAAAGGTGGATGGAACAGTTTGGTTTTTAAGGTTTTTGAACAAGAAGGCGCTACTAGGGGCTCCTGGCATCGCTACTGGGAGCAAGGACGCTACTAGGGGCTCAAGCTACTAAGGACAAGGGCATTGCTACATTCGCTACATGGTTATGTTGTTTTGAGGGAGAAGAAGCAGATCATTCTGCCGAGTCTCGCTTTGAGGATTGTCTCATGGTTCCTCAAGCTTTAAGTAGTTGCTTTTGCAATGTGGGTCCCTCTCCTCTTGTTCACCTTTTCTGCATTGGAGATGGCAAGCGCAGGGAATCGTGAGGTTGCGAGGTGGGGTGGAGGTCCAATTTCGTGGAAGGCGCAGTGCTTTGTGCTTATTAGACGTGTGGACACGTAAATTTTGTGGCAAGCGCAGGGAATCGTGAAATTGCGAGTTGTGGTGGAGGTGAATGTCGCTGTGACATTGGGATTGGCGTGTGAGCGGGTGTTGTTTGGAGGGGCTAGAATCGCGAAACTGCCTGGCAGGGCTGCTTGATGTGTGCGCTCCGTTGGCGAAACGCTCGTTTTGCAGACGTCACGCGTGACTTTTGGAGGAAGTCTCGTGCGAAACGCTTGTTTTGCAGACTTCAAGTGTGAGTTTTTGAGGAA